GTTGACCAGGATGGTCTCGATCTCTTGACCTCGTGATCCACCCGCCTCGGCCTCCCAAAGTGCTGGGATTACAGGCTTGAGCCACCGCGCCCGGCCTTAGACGATAATTTTCAAGTTTTCAGCTGATACTGTTGGGAGAACACATTTTTTTGACTCAATTTTCTATTGCGTGCTTAATTAAAAGATAAATAATTGAAATAATCAGGCAGTTTCACTAGCTATAGTACCCAGTGGCTGTATGCCTAAGGTTGGGACAATATAAGAAGTATAAACGGTTGTCCCATCATCTGTTCTCATATGCCTCTCAAATTTAGACGTCTCTCCAGGCTTGAGTGCCTTTCTCCTGTTGAAGATATTTTTCATAGCTTCATACCTCAAACACAAGCCAGCTATTCCCACTGGCACTCATTCCAATGATGGAAGAAAAGCCAGCTGTGTTGGACTTGAAGGGTGGTATATTAATCTCTAGCATTGTGCTTTTCTAAGGAATGATAAAGGGTAATTTTGACTGGACTAACTTTCACAATATATTATACACCGACTTCAGAACCTAACTCTTCCCTCCACCGCCTGCCCCCCAAACCTGGTGCTCTGTTGCCCAGGCTGGAATGCAGTGGGACAATCTCAGCTCTGTAACCTCCGCCTGCCAGGTTCAAGTGATTCCTCTGCCTCAGCCTCCTGAGTATGGGATTACAGGCGTGTGCCACCACTCCCAACTAATTTTTTGTATTTTTAGTAGAGATGAGGTTTCACCATGTTGGCCAGGCTGGTCTTGAACTCCTAACAACATGATCCACCCACTGTGGCCTTCCAAAGTGCTGGGATTACAAGCATGAGCTGCCTGCCCGGCTCAACCCTAACTCTTTAAATGAAAGATAGGAATGCTACTATACAGTTTTGTTAAATGAATGATTTACTGTTTATCTGTGTTTCTGTAATCCTTTATTACTCAAATGACATTTTTGCTGCTTGTTAATAGCTATTTTTTCATGTCTTATCAGTTAAAAAGCAGGAATCATGTCTTTATATTTCTTAGTAGTTGTCATACTACTTTTTACATAATATTTATAGGATGAATAGACATTTATTTATTTGTTTGTTTATTTATTTATTTTTGAGACAAAGTCTCGCCCTGTTGCCCGGCCTGGAGTGCAGTGACATGATCTTGGCTCACTGCAGCCTCCACCTCCTGGGCTGAAGCAGTCCTCTGGGCTCAGCCTCTCCATTAGCTAAGACTACAGGCATGCACCACCATGCCTGGCTAATTTTTGTGTTTTTTGTAGAGACAGGGTTTCACCATGTTACCCAGGCTGGTCTCAAACTCCTGACCTCAAGTGATCCACCCACCTTGGGCAGATCCCAAAGTGCTGGGATTACGGGTGTGAGCCACTGCGCCCAGCATTAGACAGCTTGCTGTACAGTGATCATAAACCCAATACCCTTTGCTAAATGTTGCCTCTCAATTATCACTTTTCTCTCTTTCCCACAGCTCTTTCGACGTGTAGCAGCAGCTTTGCCTGGAATGGAAAGCACACAGGACAGAAGCAGAGAAGACAGTATCCTTTTTATTTAATCGGAAATTTTTCATTGTTAACATTAGTCTTTAAAGTCCTGCTTGCTTGGCTAAAGAATATTGTGCCATTGCCTTTTACAAACCAGGAACTGATGGCTTAGGGTCATAAAATTCAGAGGTTTTCTATAGCAAATGGGGTCTGGTTATCCAAGTGCACACTTTGCAGCCTGCTGCTCATTGTTAATCAGTGAGAGGGCTTGTGTGTGTTTGCTTGCTTTTTAATGAGCAGGAAACTCTCAGAATGCCTGTCTCCTTGCCTCTTCATTTTGAGTCCCATTGACTGAGCTTTTTCCTCATAGAATATCATATTTTCATTTCTTACTTTTTCTAACACTTGAACTTTCTACTTGACACAGGCAAGAAATAGAGTGGAGCTTTATTGTAGCTTTTGTTTTCAGAAACAGGACATAATATTAGTTCATTTCCAAGGATTAGAACATCTAACATTAGTTAATACTAAGGATTTTTAATTTGATTTGATGTGTTCCATGTTTCATATTTACCTTCTAGTGTTTTTCCATATGCAGGCATTTTTACTAAGCCATATAGTTCATAGCACATTGTATTCAGCTCTTCCCGCTTGTAAATGTTTTATGTTTTCATAAAAAACATAATTGTTTTAAAAAAACATAATGTGGCCGGGCGCGGTGGCTCACGCCTGTAATCCCAGCACTTTGGGAGGCCGAGGCGGGTGGATCACGAGGTCAAGAGATCAAGACCATCCTGGTCAACACGGTGAAACCCTGTCTCTACTAAAAATACAAAAAATCAGCTGGGCATGGTGGCGCTTGCCTGTAATCCCAGCTACTCAGGAGGCTGAGGCAGGAGAATTGCCTGAACCCAGGAGGCGGAGGTTGCGGTGAGC